TTTTCATTTGATTAGATCCCTATATATGTATATATATATATATATATATATTCAGATTGTCAGATTGTGGATCTAATCCAAAGGTTGAGAATTGGTCTTACGGGTCTCACGAAAAACCCTTAGTATCACATGATTCTAAGTATATATATATATATATATATGTGTGTGTGTGTGTGTGTGAGAGAGAGAGAGAGAGAGAGAGAAATTGGTCCATGAAAGTCTTGCTTGTAAGAAAGAGAGATGATGAAAGAATGATGATGAGTTAGTGAAGTAAGATGATCACTCTACATCTCTAAGTTGGGGGGGATCTTAGCCCTCAAGCCATTCTCTCTTTTCTTTTCCTTTTTGTGGGTTGGGTTTTTCTAATCTTTGATTCTAACTTCTCACCATATATTTGTATTTCCTGAATCTGAATCTGGATCTGGATCTGGATCTGGTTAAAACATCTATCGAGGGATTTGGATTTTATACAAGAATTTGGATTTCAAAGAATTTTGAATCTTTGATATATTTGGTTTGTAGGATTAAAATGGAATTCAATTTCATTTTTATAATTAATTTATAAAAACAATTTTTAAAAAATTATTATATTTTTTTTTTATTAATTGATTGTTATAAAACAAATATTTTCAAACATGTTTTAAAACATCATTATATACAAATTCTATGAAATTCCGTAAAATACCAACAACCCCCATAAATCCCACGTTCGGGGATTTCAATGAAATATCGAGATTTCAGATTCACGCAGTCCTTCAAACCAGATATGAGATTGTAATGAAATTGAATTCCAAATCCCTCTCAATCTTATTCATTCCTACAAACCAAACAAGATTTAAAAGTTTTGAATTTATATTTCACGCTCTTAAATTGTCAAATAGATCATCAGATACATCTCAATAAACAAATGATTAAATATTTCATCATTTGAATTACTGATTTACAAGTGAGATTCTTTGAATCGTACAAACAAAACAACCCATGTTTATTTTGATGCAAGATTCTTCTTAAAACATGTTTGCAATGTGCAAATATACAAACATGATGGAACCCCATATAATTGGACGAGTCTTAATGAATTCAGCTTGTCTATATGTTAAATGAATTTTGACTTTTTACATTTTCGAAATATTAGATTTAAATAAAAAAATTGGTTTACAACACCCCCCACCCAACCTCCATCAAACCCAAGGCCCTTTCAAGAAGATCAAATCATACATCACAAAACAACACCAAGTTCTTTTGGTAGCAAGCGTCAATCACAAACCATGACTTCCTTATCACAATTCCAAAAAAACCCTTTTTATGACTAGGTAATATTTTTTCGGTATAAAACTGTAAAAATATATATTGAAAATATAAACCACAAGGGTTGTGCTTGATTGGTTTGAGCTTGGCTCCAAATGTCAAAAGTATCAGGAGGTCCCAGGTTCAAATCCAAGGAGGAATGAAAATCTCCTTGTGGCCACAGAAGTTCAAATGCGGTAACTCCGAGCTATTTGCAAAGCAGGTGGTCACCCTGAGATTAGTCTGCTCGCATAACGGGTTGGAATTGGATATCCAGGTTAATCAATATATATATATATATATATGATAAAAAAAATACAAACAGAGACATACTGATTGAAAGCAGGAGAATATTTTGTTGTAAAGGGCACCAGATGAGACCATTTAAATCATAATCACATTCATCGAGATCTTCCAACATACAGTAAAATCTAAAATTGAAGTAACTGGTTGACGGGATGGGCGAATATTTATGGAACCATTTATTGCACATTTGAATTTGTATACGAGAGTATATTTTTTAAAGTAACGAGAAGGAGAAACTAGTTTTCGATTCAATTCCGACACTTAGAACAAACATTCTTCCACTAACGTCTATATAGCAATTTTACCTTCTTTGACGTACAATTTCATTGATTTGACTCTTGAAGACGCAATTACTAATAAAAAAAAATGGTCATTTTCGTTAAGAAATCAACAATACCAGTAGATCCCACGTCAAACCTATCGTTATGTATTATTTGTAATGATTATCTACTAAATATAAGTACCATCTATCTTTTAACAAGAGTAGTTTCAAAGTTTATTCCTTTAAAGTTTGAATTGATGGTACAACTATTGATCACAACTTTCAAGAAAATTTGACTGCAACTTGTGCAAACTCGTGTTTACACTTTTAATTTTCCATCGATTAATTTTACTTAAACTACACTCTAAATCATAACCAGTTATCTAAATTCGAAAATAAACAGCTAAAATGGTTGTAATGTTTAAACCTCGTGATGTTGATGTAGTCCGCCATCCAACATCGTTTGTGACTTATTCAAGCACAGCTCAACCTAATTTCGGATTTTTTGTGACTCGTTTCATTGAATATTTGATGGACGAAATTCATGTGTTAGTTGCCTGTCAAGGTTCCGTTATTGTTATTACAACTTCTGGAATTAATATTAGTATCAGATTATAACTTCGTCATATTTTATTTCAAAAGCCAGTTTTCTCGTTACAAATTTTTATAAAAAAATCAAGTTTTTTTTAAAATGAGACTAGTCAAACACTGTATATTGTATGCAAAAAATTTCTACGTCAAAGTATGACTTTGTTTCATGTGTAATAAATTTAATTTAATTTATCGTAGTAGTTAAATAGACTTGTGATAAGTTAAATTTACTGGAACTTCACAACAAAACACTGAACCTTCACAATCGAACGTTGATATAATAAAAACCAAACATTCACATGAAAAACATAACAAACTTTTACATATAAAATTTACGAAACTTTACAAAAAGCACAAACCAAACTTCCATTTAATTTAACGGATCTCACGAAATGATGTAATCGAAACACAAATCTGGTTAAGTAATCATTCCATCGCAACATAGATGTCCACCTATCTATTTTAATTTATCATAAAATAAGTGTTTAATTTCACAAGTAATGGTCTATTTTCTCATTCTACTCGAAGAAAATTTTCTCTATATCGTTAAGGGTACAACTATCATTTATTTATTTAAAAAAATAATAATTACATATAATTAAAAATGTACACCTCTTTTATTACAAAGATTTGTTTTAGAATTATAAGCATCTTCAACAGCTATTTTATAATCTTTTTACAATAGAATTTGAAAAGTTGAAATCCGTAAAAAGTTTTACATTCAACTCTAACAATTACTCTATTTTAGCAATTTTAACATCCATTATATTAATAAAAAATGTTATTTTTCTCTTATACATTTAATTTCAGTACCTTTTATTTGTGGGAAAGAATTAAAATATTATTTCTCTCGCTCCTATAAAGGTTTTTAATATTTTTCTTTAAGTTTGGAGATTTCCATCTTAAAGCATATGTAACAGCCATGCTAAAGCATAAATTTTGGAGATTTAAGTTGTAATTTTGCTCCAATAACTATGCTATAATTTTTTTAAAATAAAATATTAAAGTTAAAATCTCTTAAAAAATACATCCAACTCCACCAACCAACAACTCTATCATCAACTATCTATACAATATTATAAAGCATTTGACAAAAATTCTTAAAAACTATTTTTTATGCATGAAATACTGTATATTGATGCATATTACTTAAAATTCAAGATTACAAGTAAGTTATGCATAAATACAACTTATTAAAGCTTCATGTTTGAATTCGGGTAACTAACTGTACATAAACATAATCAAATAGAGAATAAACATATCATTTTATAATATAAAAAATCTAAAATRTAATTAGAATAATTATCGAGTTCTAAYRAAATAATTAATTATTATCTTTATAAGAAAATTATATTATYAAACCAAATATAAATTACTTCATTATTGAAACTAAATTAAATTATAATAAAAAAATTGAATTAAAAAATTACACAAAAAATAAGAATTTTAAATAGTTAATTTGATACTAATATCGATGTATTTTTGTCAATTTTTTTAAAATACTTTAAAATTTATATTTTATTCAAAAATAAAAACATCATCGCTTTTTTCAAAATCATATAAGATCATACTATAATATCGACTGAGATAAAGAATAAAATGAAATATTAAAATCAAGATTATCTCGCTGCATTGCGCGAGTACCCTTCTAGTATTATTAAAATATTCAATAAGTTTAATAAAATATTATTTCTCTATCATAACTACTTAATTTCAAGGTCTCCAATTAGTGAAAATAATTAAATATTATTTTTCTCTGTTAAATAAGGAGTTTTACACAATTATCCAAATTTGGAGATTTATATCCTCTTATTTTTTTCCGTCTATTTTAGCATAAGTTATAACTTAGCTATTGTAGCAAAAATATATCAAAATCTCTAAAATCTATATTTTAGCATAACTGTTGGAGATGCTCGTCAAAATAAAGAAAATAAGAGAAAAAGGATAAAAATCTCTAAAGCTTCATATTTATGAGAGATAAATAATATTTAATTCTTTATTATCAATAGAAGATATAGAAATTAAGTGTTTAAAAAAGAGAAATAATATTTTATTAAATGTATTGAATATTCTAATAATATAGTTAATGATAGAATTGTTAAAATAGAGTAGTTGATGTAGTTGGATGTAAATGTTTTTACATATTTTAACTTATGATATTTTATTTTAGAAAAATTGTTTTGTAACGAATTCGTCTCCCACTTTAACAGTCATCCAATTCTTCCATTAACCTTGAAGGCATTTTCGTCCTTTTTCCTTTTGTTTTTTATACAAGGGACCAACTCATTATAAAACAACATACACGGGTTCTAATATGTAATAAATAAAGTTTAAAGACCATTTTTGTAAAAAACATCAAATCACAGGGACCAAATCTATAACTAACTCAAAGATATACCTATTAATGTTTGATGGCATTGCCACCAAACATGGCCCGGTAGAACATGGAGACTAAAAGATACGGGAGAAATGGCACGTGACACAGCACATGTCAGGAACAGGACGGCGCCATTATAAAAAACCCCCCAAGAACACAGACACGGTCAATCCAACAAGACACAAAAATAACCATTGAAACATCCTCGAAATTCTTAATTCTTTGCTTTCGTTCTCCACTTTGATACGCCATCCAGATTTCCTTCTGTAACTGAAAGCCACATTCCATGGAGTCGGTGACTAGTTTTATATTCAAAATTTGTTACTGGTTACCGCGTTTCTCGCCTGTTCTTGCATAATTAGCTTGCATACGATCGCCACCCCTCATTTTTCTCTCTATTGATCTCCCAGTTATTAAACCCTTTCAATTCTTTTTTCTGTTAGTTTGAATATGGAATTTTTTTGTAATTACAATCGGTTTAAGCTGCAGTTAGCAATGTTGTTTACTGCTACATTAGTGATCCATCACAATTTTAGTCTCTGTTGGTCCCTCAACGCCGAAGGTGAGTAATTCTTTGATTATGGACCGAAATTTGAGTGTTGATTAACGTTTTGGGGTTTATGGTTTTGCAGGGTTGGCGTTGTTGAAGTTTAGAGATGGAATTGAGACGGACCCTTTTGGGGTTTTATCTGGTTGGAACAACGACGGTGAAGCGGCGGATTTGGGCCCTTGCTCTTGGTTCGGTGTTGAGTGTTCCGACGGAAAAGTGGTCATCTTGTAAGCTTTTATCACCCCGTTATATATTAGATCATGTTCGTATGATAATTTAGTCTGAGAATCCGATTTGATGAGTTTGTTGGCTCTTAGGTGTTCGATGTAATGCTTAGCCCACTTTCAATAAGTGATGCAATTATTTCAAACCAACCCAATCTCCAAAAGACTACAGAATTTAGGCTTTGAATTATGGTTGATCACTACTTGATTAGCAAAATTGATGAAATAAGGAAGAACATTAATCAAATCCATGGGAGTTTATAGTTGTTAATGTTACAGGAATTTAAGAGACTTATGCCTTGGAGGAACACTTTCACCAGAGGTTGGAAAGCTAACAAATATAAAATCCATGTAAGCATCCAAGGTTTTTAAGTTCCTATTTACAGTTGGATTAGTTAATGGTCATGTTTCTGATGATGATTTCATATGCTGTATGGATAGTATTTTACGAAACAATTCTTTTTACGGAACAATTCCTCAAGAAATCGGTGATTTGGAGGAGCTGGAAGTGTTGGATTTGGGATACAATAACTTCAGTGGGTCATTCCCATCTGATCTTGGCAATAATCTCTCTTTATCGATTCTGTGAGTTGAATTTTCAGCTTTTAGTTATCGAAAATTTTTCATGACCTTTATGTTAACTCGATTCATATGAATCTTGACGCAGTTTATTGGACAACAACAGTCTTCTTGATGATCTTTCTCCTGATGTAAACAATCTTAAGACGATTTCGGAGTTTCAGGTAGATGAGGACCAGCTCACAAGCTCACATAATGATGCTAGTTGTAACAGCAAGTCTAGTTCTTGGTAAGCGCCTTTAAGACACATAGTTTCTTTCTTTTTATATATTCTCTCTATTTCAGTGAGAGAGAAAAAAAGAACATACAGTCGAGGTGGTAAATTTCCAACTCCAAACCTGATATGTAAGGAAAACCTTATTGAATAGTGTTGTAGACAAATGCTATGTTTGGCAAACTAGCAAGTAAGTTGGGTGTTAGCTAAAAAGCTAAGCTAGCAGTTACCTATAAAGTAGCTGAAAAACTAGTCATGGTTGGTAAAAATTAATTGATAAGCTATATGACAATGTATAACGACCTAAATATATGTTGAAAATTAATTGGAAAAAAGTGGAAGAGAGGCCCTAGAGCTTATTGAAACTCTACGTATGGTTAACTAAACGGGGTTTTTTTCAAGGTAAATTGTCCAAAATAGCCATTCTATATTCCCCATTTCATTTTATAGCCGTTTTTCTACTCAATTGACTGAAATAGCCAATAATAGCACTTTAACAACTTGCGAAATCTACTTTTTATGAATTTAATACCATAAAAGTACCAATTTAACAAGTTACTAAAGTGTTGCCTGCCAAATGTTGACGTCTCAAGCAACACTTTAGCAAGTGGCACTTCCACGTTAGCATTTCGCATTTAGCAACTTGCGAAATTGTTACTTTATGAATATTATATAATAAAAAAATGGATTTTGCAAGTTGCTGAAGTGCTATTTGCGAAATCGTTAATTGGCTGAAAGGTGGCTACAAAGTGAAGAGGGGTTCAAAATGGCTAGTTGGATAATATCTCCCTTTTCCAATAAGCTCAAAAAATAAGCTAGCTTATAGTTGCCAAACACGGTCTTGATGTAGGTTTTCAAAAGCTATTTTATAAGTTAGCTTCTGCTAACCAAACAGGATTCTTTCAATAAAGTCAAAAAATAAGCTAGCTTATGGTTGTCAAACATGGTCAAAAGTGAATGCTAAGAACTCTCTTATGCATACATAGAGGGTGATGTTGTTTTATATATATCTTACAGGAAAGCCATTCAAGCTGGAGATCCTACAGAAAGAAAGCTGTTACAGGTTTCACCATTACCATCATCATCAGGTTTTCCAATCTCATATATATCGTTGCCGCCATCCGCCATATCATATATATCAGCATCTCCGTCCCCATCAGAAGTCGCATCCCCTTCACCATCCCCAGTACTTCCACCATTACCTGTTTTCCCAAATCCACCAATTACTTCTCTAGAACCAGAGACCAAACCTGCTTTAGCTCCTTCACCTACAAACTTTAGGGGTTACAAATCCAAACATCACAGAGTTTTAATATGGTCTGGGGTAGTAGGGGGTTCTATATTTGTATTTCTTTCCGCTTTTGGATGTGTTTTCTTCAAAAGAAGTAAGGTGGTTACTGTTAAACCATGGGCTACAGGTCTAAGTGGGCAGCTTCAGAAAGCATTCACAACGGGTTAATTCTCTTTTTTCCATTTTCTTTCATTTGCATCCGTTTTCTGTTTGTACGTATGCTAATATCTGTGTTTGCATTTCAGGTGTTCCGAGTCTCCAACGCCCTGAACTTGTAACAGCTTGTGAAGATTTTAGTAATATAATTGGCTCTATGTTAGATGGCACTGTGTACAAAGGGACTCTTTCAAGTGGGGTTGAAATCGCTGTGACATCCACTGCAATAACGTCGGCTAAAGATTGGACCAAGAATCTAGAAACCCAGTTCAGAAACAAGGTTAGAAACCTAGAAAACACATAAATCTGGTCTAAAATTGTTTCAGGTTGCCTGTTTGCTTCTCTTTTTTCAAAACTTTTGGGGTTTATTTTGCAGATAGAAATGTTGTCAAAGGTGAATCACAAGAACTTTGTGAATCTAATTGGGTTTTGTGAAGAACAAAATCCTTTTACTAGAATGATGGTTTTTGAGTATGCTCCAAATGGAACTCTGTTTGAGCACCTGCACAGTAAGTTCTGTTTACATTCTTCGGTAATCCTTTTGTATCAAAATAAATGTCTAAAAGGCGCAGACACAGTTTTAGAAATGTGTAATTATTCCATCTTTTAATTAACTGAATAGCAATTCTACCCTTAATAGTAGAGGGAGTCTCCCATCTCATAGAATTGAAAAATATGCCCTTACTTTTGAAATAAACTAAAATAGAAATGTCGACACTTATTTTATATAGAAAAAGTAGTATGCAACATCGATCTTTTTGACTTCTTCCGTACCTTCATGAGATTTGTTGATTAAATCATGTGATCATTACAAAATTCATACAATTGTCAGCATAACTCAAGACCCGTTCTTCTAGTGCATCAGCAAATCGAACTTTGTTTGACCCTTTAAAATCTAGTTCTGCATTCATGGTCAACTAATTGACTTTTTCATCATATTCAAAGATTCATTGATCGTCATTCTAATTGTGACAATTATTAATATTTGTTGTCAATTATGCAGTTGAAGAAGCCGAACATTTGGACTGGTCTATGCGAATACGTATAGCTATGGGCATGGCATACTGTCTCGAGTACCTACACCAACTCAACCCACCGATTGCTCACAAAAACCTACAATCGTCATCTATACATCTAACCGAGGACTACGCAGCCAAAATCTCAGATTTCAGCTTCTGGGATGCAGCGAAAACAGGTCCAACAAAAGCCGAGCTATTAGAGACCCCACCTTCAACTCCACAGAGTAATGTCTACAGCTTTGGTGTAATCTTATTGGAACTCATCACCGGTAAGATACCTTACTCGGTTAATAATGGCTCTCTTGTGGACTGGGCATCGGATTTCTTGAACTCAGAGCAACCGATAACAAACATAGTGGATCCAACTTTGACTTCCTTCAAAGAAGATGCAGTTAAGGAGCTCTTTGAAGTGGTCAAAAGCTGTGTTCTTTCGGATCCAAATCAGAGACCCACAATGAGAGAGGTCACGGCTAGGTTGAAGATGGTCACAGCCATGGCACCTGAAGGTGCCATACCTAGAACATCTCCGCTTTGGTGGGCTGAACTAGAGATCTTATCATCAACAGAATCAAATTAAAAAACTATTCAATTTGCATCGAGTGTTTCTGTACATATTTTTGAGAGAGAATCTACTGAATCTTTGTGAAACCGTTACAGTTCCATAAGTGTATTGATTCGTTCATCTTTAAACCTCTGTATTTCAACAATTACCTCAATTTATAAGATCTCAAAAGGAATACAGAAGCTGTGTATCATTCAAGAATTTATGAAGAAACAATTGATTTTACAATTTACAACATTTTGAGGGTCATATTTCATGCCATCTTTCTCCCTATTGATTCTGAATTGCTGCCCAGGTAACCTGTGAACTCCTTGATTCTGAACTTTTCTTGCCAACTCGAGCTGGCACCAAGGAAGTCCCTCTTTCGTCGTATATTTTTGGCCGGCGGTAGGTTCTTCAAGAAGGGAATTAAACCGATGGAGGGTGTGTAAAGTTCTTCACTTGTCTCCAAGATGAGTGGAAAATGCAAACCATGAGAACTGAACAACTCAAGTATACTCAGCAGCTTGTTTTTGTGTTCGATTATAGAGCTCGAGAGTCTCTTTGTGATTCGGATCCAAACACAGTGCTGCTTCACAATCTCGGAGGGCTAAGGTGTAGTCACTCATTGACTCATAGAATGCTGCTCGAAGATGGAGCATCTGGAGTTCGGGTTTGAAAGCTATGGCTTTTGTAAGCTCTTCAACAGCTTCACTTTCCTTTTGTTCATCCATCAACACTGGTGATATCAAGTTTTATGCATCAACAATTGAATTACATAGCAATTACCAACACTACAACAAATTGAACTGCTTTATAGGATTAGTTTATAAGAGGTCATATGCAAAGGTGTTATAATAAGGGGTTGTTTGGTTGGTTTTCCATTAAGTCTTGTATGGATAACGTTGTATGTGTGTGCACCTGTACAGGTCGGGAAGGTTTTTGTTTGAGAGGGTTTTTTTGGATGGAAGGAGCGTGTTTTTTAATTGGAAGGGGCAAGTTTAGAAAAAACTTGGCTTTTTGCAGAAGCTCCCCCTAGAAGCTTAATGACTAAGCCACTTTCCATAGCATTAAAGCTATGTTTGGCAAACTAGCTAATAAGCTAGTTGATGGCTGATAAGTTAGCTGGTAGTTGATAAACAAGTTGATGACTGATAAGTTAGCTGATAGTTGATAAGCAAGTCGATAACTGATAAGTTAGCTGGTAGCTGATAAGCTAGCTGATGAACAAATTATGTTTGGCAAAAATTATCTGATAAACATGTAAAATAACCAAAAAAGGCGTCTTGAAAATCTAGTCAATTGCAAAATTTTATGATATAACTAAAGCAAATATTTAATAATATAATATATTAATAGAAACAAGATGATAATGAAAAAAAAGAATACAATATGTTAATTAAATGAATTTTAAATTGATTATTATATATATATATTATAAATTTTGGATTGTTAAAATAAATTTTAAGGAAAAAAAATCTACATTAATTTATGATTTTAAATAATCATTACATAAATATGAATACAAATAAAATTGGTCAATTTCACATACCCTATTAGTAATTTGTCAAAAACTATAACTAAAATGAAATTAAATATTTTATTCAAATCATTCAACACGATTTTATTATCTATGAAACAAAATAACTAAAACTTTAATTTTTATGTAACTCACGTAAATATTATTAAAATTGTTATATTTGTTTGTTGATAACTATATATACTGAATAATAATTAAAAATAATTGATATGATTAATAATAATTCTAAATAATTAATAATTAATATTAATGTATAATTATAATCGATAATAATTTTCAACTAATATAAATTAATATTAATAATAATAAATTTTTATTTATTAATAATTAATATTTGTTTATAATTAATAGTAAATAATAATTAATAGTAAATAATAATTAATATTAATGAGGTTATAATTAGAAAAAGTGACAAAAAGCTTCTCATAAATTACTCCAACTAGCGTATCAATAAGCTAACTTATGTCCATCCAAACATGAACCCAAAAAATAAACTAGCTTATTTTTGCCAAACAATGCCTAAGCCACTACCAAACAGTTATGTATAGTTGACCAAATAAGTTGAGTCCCATAAGCTCATTAAGCTGTTAACAAACAGACCCTAAGTTGATAAGATGCTTTTGTGTGTCCTAACAAATATTTTGGGACACTTTTGAAATAAACTGTTCTATTAGTCTTCATACGATATTGTTTGAAAAATGTATATAAAAACAAGTGTCGTATAAAAAAAAGTGTTCATTTAGGACATTTTTTAAAGTGCCCCATGAAAAGCTAATAGAACACTTTATTTCAATAACGTCCTAAAAAACCTAAACAACTTGTTAGAACGTTTGAAAGCATCCTATCAACTTATTGTACCATTTCTATGTAGGAACCCAATTGTTTGATTCTATAAGCGCAAGTCTTATAAAACAGTCTATTAGGACATTTAGGTGGCGTTTGTTTTTTAAGAGGTGCTGAAGTCTGAAGTCTGAATTCACTTCTGATTTTTAAGAGRWGGTGCTGAAGTCTGAAATCTGAATCAATCAGACTGTTTGTTTTTTGCGTCTGAAATCTGAAGTTTGAAGATGAGAGATCGAGAGTTGATATGGATCGACAGTTGACAGAGTTGAGAGACGAGAGATCGAGACAGAAGAGTTGATCCAGAGAAATCGAGCGTAAAGAGATCAGAGTAGATAGACGACGATTTGAAATAAGAGGTTTCTCAACCACTTAAATTTTCAGACTTAATAAGAGCTTTTAAGCTCTTAATTGAAAAAAAAAAACAAACACACTGAATCCTCTTACGTCTGACCGATTCAGACTTAAGAGGACATTAAGAGCTTTTTTATTAAAAACAAACAGCTCCTTAGACATGTTTGACGTAGTATAATGCCAATTTTGTTGCAATGCAAGGAATCTAAGACAGCTAAACTACTCCTAAGTTGCATTATTTGACAGACTGGTTATAAAGCTTTTGAAGATGTACCTGCAGCTCTATATCTGTATGGGTAAGTCCTGAGAGGATCCAACTGAGTAGCCATACATAGATCACTGGTAGCATTATCACGATCGCAGTATTCTGAGCGTTTTTCATAAGCAGATGCGCTATTTTCCGCCTTCTCGATTAACTTTGTCATCTCATCATATGCAGCTTTTCTTTCATCTTTGAGAGAATAAACACGCGCCAACCCTTGATGAGCTCTCGTATGCTTTATATCAAGTGCATTTACATAACAATCTGCAGCAAGATCATGCTTCCCACAATCCACATATATACTGCCTAGATTATTTAGTGCCTGCAACAATTGGAAAAAAATTACCCTTTTTTTACTTCTTTCTTTCAATTCCGATTCTAATTGTGAAAGTATACGTCTTTATGTCACTTACTTGTCCTTTCCGAAGGCCATCTGAAGGGCATTTAAGAGCATCGTTAAGAAGTTGTATAACAAAAGAAGAATCGGAATCCAGAGATGCATCTGCCAGTGTGTATGCTTTTAGAAAATAGGCTTCAAATGATCTCTGGATGGAAATCGACTCTTTGGCTTTTGAGAGAGCTTCTTCACGATAACCTGTGTCGTATAAGATCCACCCTTCATAGACAAGCCTTTCATGCTTTGTAGTTGATAGATTTCTGGCCAATCGTAAGCTGCGCATTGCTGCCTTTTGGCAGTTTAATCTGTGTCCAAGAGGTAAATGGTTCTTTTAGATGATAAGCTAGTTGTTGGCTCATAAACGAGTAACGATTGGTAAAAACAAGCTGATAAGCTAGATGACACTATAAAATGACTTAAATGGACATATTGAAAAATTAATTGGAAAAATATAAAGAGGTATAATTGGAAGAAAGTAGAAAAAGCCTCTGGAGCTTATTGAAACACTACTTGATGGTAAGCTGATGGCTAACCAAACGGGACTTTTTCAATAAGCTCAAAAAATAAGGGTCTGTTTGTTGGCAGCTTAATGAGCTTAACGAGACTCACAACTTATTTGGTCAACCATACATGACTGTTTGGTAGTGGCTTAATGATATAGAAAGTGGCTTACTCAGTACTTCTAGGGGGAAGCTTAATGCAGAAAGCTAAGATTTTTTTCCAAACCTGTCCCACCCAATAAAAAATTACGCTACTTCCATCTATGAAAAACTATCCCAAACAAAAACCTTTCCAATCTATACAGATAGATTATCCACACAGACAGCTTTATCGATATAGAACTTAATGGAAAAACAACCAAACAGACCCTAAGTCATTTTATGGTTACCAAACATGGCCATAACAAAATAAGAACAGATTAAAGGATAGTTAGGCATGCAAAGGTCTCGATTCTTCAGATCATTTGCATATATAGATTGAAGGATCTTTTAGGCATGTTTTTGAGGGGAGGATATGGAGTTTACCTTAGAAGAAGTAGAGACTGTCTGAACCTCAAAAGACTCTTTCCAGGGTCGTGAGCAAGCATCTGATGTATTATAGCGAGTGAGCCAATATCATCTATACAAGACCACCGATCATAAAGCTGCAGCCAGCAATCAGCAGGAGTCCATTGTTCAACTCGTTGACTAAGGATCTCCACCAAGTAGTCGCCCCTCATCCTCCCATGAAACATCATGTAATACGGGTCCAAACTTAACAACGCTCGAATATCCCTCACTGCAGCTTGGTAATCCTCGAGTGCGAGATAAAACCACGCCCGTAGTTCAAGACAATCAGAAGAAACCTTGAATCGAATGATCTTATTGATCTCTTGAACAGCTCCATTGATCGAATTCTCAGCCACCATTGATACAGCTCTGTGTTTATATGGATAAGCAAGTGTAGGATCCAATTTAGTGGCTTCTTCCAAATCCAACATCTTTTTACTCCCAATAATGTATAAAGATCTCTCCTGGTACATCCATCCCTTCGGTTTACACTCTGATATGATCTTGTTGATCATTTCACGTGCTGAATACGTCTTCCCTTGCTTGTACATTGCTCGAGCAACGCCTGTTGCTGAATAAACATGACCCATTTCAAACGCTGCTTCAAAACAGGTTTGAGCATCTTTGTATTCTTCTCTTTCGAATAACAAAACGCCCAATTGATGAAATGCAATGGTTTTCTGCCATTTCTCTGTTGACAATCCGATCAATCTTTCCAACAGTATGACTGCATTCATGGAGGTCATCTTCTCCTCCATAGCCACTTGGCTAAGGAAATAGTACAACAAAAAAGAAGCATGATTAACCATACCCAACTTCTCTATAGCTTCAAAACTACAAAACAAGCTTAGAACTTTGGGATTGTTTAAAGAACTTGGAAGCTCTCTTAACAAAACCTGTAAACAAGAAGCTACCAGGAGACTTGCTCTGTCTTCAAATCCGTATTCGATAAAGATCAAGGCATCGTCTACATTAGAGACTAGTGAAGCTAAATAAACCTCACATGCCGACTTCATTTCTTCGCAACAGAACTTCTGTGCAAATGAAAGGATCTCCAAAACTATAGATGGAGAAGCAGAATCCAAGAGATTTTTTGTCCTACTAAACACTTCCACAGCTCTCATGGCTTCCCCAGATACCCCAATTCGCGAAAAATCGATGTTTTCCTTTGCTGATTCGACAAAATTACCATATAATAAGGTGTTCAATGGGCTAGATAATGAAGCTATTTTAGGCCTAATACAACTGATTACCTCATCTCCAATACAAAAACGAACAATTTCATCATCATTATCATTATCATTATCATCATCATCATCAAGCAAGCATTCATTGTTTAGTGAAACAGTAACCTTAACATCCTCAGATGCATTATGTCGAACACATTGGCAGCGATCAAAAACCGAACGAGAAGGATCAAACACATTATCAACCAAAGCGGATTTGGGGCATTCAAGAACCTTAGCAATACAATCCATGGACGAAACACCCACAAGCTCGTCCTCTCTCCTCTCGTATCGCAGCCAAGCAGAAAGTACGACCTTCGAATGTGTATCAACAGCGTGTTCCCTAGCCGACTGTAAGCTTCTTCGAAGCAGCTTTGGATCACCCACTGCGCACAATAACGCATACTGTTCCAGATACAAACAACAAGTCTCCGGTTCAGAAGAAGAACGAATGATTATCCGGTACAGCTCCGAGATAGAGTCAACGAAATCAACAGGGTTGAGATGAGGATCTAAAGGGGGTTCAATAAGGTGAGTAAYAGGAAGACCATAAGGAAGAACAGATTTAGCATTGACAAATGGGAGTATTGTCGATTCATCACTATTCGTAGACGAAGATGCTGACAATATGGAGTTGATAGTAAGAGCATGGACTTGTGTAGGTTTTTTACGCCGGTCTTTAAGCTTCAGACCGCCGGATTTCATGGTGGTGGTAAATTGACGGATCAGATGCACAATCTTGGATGATCTTGGCGTTGACGATGAACACCCATCAAAACCATCGTTCGGAATCGACATTAAATCAACTGGGTATCGATGAAACCGTGGATGAATTAACCAAAACGAAAACCTAGTCGGCGTTCACCACCATTGACACAGAATCCGTGATTGTGAGAGAGAGAAAGAGAAAGAGAGAGTTTAAGGGATTTTAATTATAATTTATTTTCCATCAACATCATTTAATAATTCGTGAAAAAGATTTGTGGGTGTAATATGTTTTGGAGGTTTATTCATTTCGATGAAATCCTTATTAATTATTTATATTATTATTAATAATAATTAATTAAAATAATCAAAAATGACTGTGAAACCAACCATCGACATAAAGAAACTTGAATCCATGTGTTTGGTTTATAAGTCTATTATTATATTATTTCTTTTAAAAACATATCTTTTTATTTTATTAAAAAATTTTAATTTTTTTAATAAAAATAAAATGAATCAAACATATCCTTTCAGTAAAGTACTATCTTTAAAATTTAAAAGTTCACTGGTTTTGTTCGTACCGGATTAGTTTCCAAAGGGATATTTGGTGGATTTTAATGTGATTTCTTGTTACAGTGTTTAGAATCGTTTATTTTAGATGTTTTTTGATTTATTTTAGTTTGACATCGATGATAAGCTAAATGTTAATGTTTGGATAAGAAAAAATAAAACTGCTTATACCGGTGTCAAACCGGTAATAAGCAGTTTTTGATAAATTAATCTTTCCTGACTTATAAAAAACTATTTATTATCATTTTATCATTTTAACCATGTTTTATTAATGTTTGTTAATTATTAATCTTATTGATATAAATTTTTGTCAATGATATTATTATAAATGATGAAAAATAATTTTTTACATGTTAAAAAATCAAATAAGTCAATAATATGGAAGACTATTCTTTTTGGTCATTTTATATATATATAAGCAAAATTTGTCAAACAGTAAAAAATAACTTATCAGTTTATTGCTTTTTGATACCGCTATAAGCTAATCCAAACACTTTTTACAAAACCCTTGTTTTACAAAAAAAAAAAAAAAAAAAAGTTGTTTTAAATAAGCAATCCCAAACACCCCCTATACTATATTATAAAGTATTTTACAAAAACTATTAAAAATCATTTTTTATGCATGAAATACTATTTATTGATGCATATTACTTAAAGTTGAAGATAACAAGTAACTTATGCATACTAAAGCTCCATATTTGAATTTGTGTAATTAACTGCAGATAAACATAATCAAATATTAGATAAACATCTCATTTTAAATATAAAAAATCTAAAATATAATTAAGATAATCATTGAGTTATAACAGAATACTTAGTTCTTATCTTTTTAAAAAATTATATTATTAAACCTAAATTAAATTTTTTTGTTACTAAACCTAAATTAAATTATAATTAAAAAAATTTATTAAGAAAATTACATCAAAACACAAAAAACTTTTAAAAATATTAATTTGATACTAATATCGATATTTTTTTAAATTATGATATTTTTAAATTTATATTTTGTTCAAAAACAAAAACATTATCACTTTCTCAAAACCATATAAAATGTATTATTTTGACATAAAAAAAACACTAAAATCAAAATGTGTTTCGATGTATTTTATTTAAAATTTAAATTAAATAAATTAAACTAGGAAATTAGAATTTTATAATTTTTAGTTTGAAAATTGAAATATGTATTAATATATATTTCAGGATAAATAATAACCAATTCATCTCTAACTTTTTCAAAACCGTAAAATAAAATCTAGAGAGAACAAAGTATGAATCATGATTGAAGGTTCGAATTTTAGATTTCACAACCGCGTTGTATTGTGCGTATGCACATCCAATATTATCTTGAATGAATATTGTACGTTATGAGCAGTTATTTTGATTTCTTGTAATATAATTTTACTATAACAAACATCTACAATTGTATATTAACGCTTTATACATTTTAATATTTAATTTACTTTCTACACATTACATTTTGCACTTCTCAATATAGTATAAGCGGGTGTTTGCTTAGAAATATAAACAGTCATTCTTGAGATTGAAATTGTTTTATATAATACGATAAACTTACCCACACGATGCAACGCGATACATCTCGATAATATTTCATTTTTAAAAGTTCTTTTTTTTTTATAATTTTTAGTTTAATTTTTCACTGTAATTTAATTTAGATTTAATAAAGAAGTAATTTATTTTAGGTTTAATAATATAATTTTTTTTATAAAAAAAATATTTAGTACAATTTTTTAATTATATGTTAATTCAGGTTTAAAAACGAAATAATTTAGTTTAGGTTTAATAATATAACTTTTTTATAAAGATAATAATTAAGTATTATGCTAGAATTGTTCTAATTATGTTTTTAGATTATTAATACTCAAAATGAGATGTTTATCATGTATTTGATTATGTTTATCAGTTAGTTACATGAATTCAAACATATAACTTTATAAAGTTGTACTAATGGACCATTGCTTGTAATCTTGAATTTTAAGTAATATGGATTATTAAACAGTAATTTGTGCATTAAAAATGGCTTCTAAGACTTTAACTCAAATGTATTATAACATACTAGAAGAGTACTCGCACAATATAGCGAGATACATCTCGAGTTTAGTGTTTTATTTTTTTTTGTCTTAGTCGATGTTATAATACGGTTTTATGTGTTTTGAGAAATAGATAATGTTTTTATTTTTGAATAAAATATAAATATGAATATATCATAAAAAAAATATTGATATTAAAATCAAACTAACTATTTAAAATTTCTCCTTTTTTGTGTATTTCTTTAATTAATTTTTTTTTTATTTTTGGTATAATAATATAATTTTTTATAAAGATAATAATTAAGTATTTTGTTAGAACTCAATGATTATCCTAATTATATTTTAGTTTTTTATATTTAAAATGAAATGTTTATCCTCTATTTGATTATGTTTATGTGAAGTTAATTACACGAATTCAAACATGAAGCTTTAATAAGTTGCACTTACGTACAATTTACTTGTAATATTGAATTATTAAGTAATATGCATCAATAAACAGTACTTCACACATAAAAAATAATTTTTAAGAGTTTTTGTCAAATGTTTTATAATATAGTATAGATTATAGATAATGAGCTCATTCCTATAAATCCAAATTTTCATTTCAAGTTAAAATAAAAGAAGGAATAAAAATTCATTACGTATGATTTTCATTCTTTTACTTGAACCAAACTGATAACTGTTTTCATATATATTTTTTAATTATAAAAACGTGGAACAAATTAAATACCAAATTTTTAGGTTGATTTTTTTTAAAAAAAGGCATTTTTATTTGCTTTATTTTTTTATAAAAATAACTAAAAAGTAAAATTAAGAAGATTCTATAATAAATATTGATTGTAATAAGAATTAGTAATATGAAGTATGAACCACACATTTCAAAAGTGAATTATGGTATTCCTCTTAATATTTTCTTCCTCCAAATGAGTGGATTATGACTTTAGCATCCAAGAAAATTGATAGAAACAAAAAAAAAAAAATTAAAAATATATATTTTTAGTAATTTATTTTTTTCAACTTATTCTCTTTTTTCCAAATCAATCATTTGTTGGGATGTGTAAAACCCGACTATCCGAAAATCTGGACCGAACCAAAACTCAAAACCCAAGATTCAAAGTTTGACTTTCATATTCGAAATTTGATCAGGTATTTAATCTATCCACTGAATCCTCTGATATACACCCCATATTGTTTATTCATTAAGTGATAAAGATTAGATTGAAATAAAACAAGAAAAACTAATTTTGTTTCAAATATATTAATTTAAGTTATATTCTATTTTTAATAAAATATATCCAAATATTTAAAATCTTATTTCCTCTTAATGTTTATGTTGATAAAAGTTAAAGTATTATTTGAATAATACAGTTTATATTAGGGGTGTTTGGGATTGCTTATAAAAACAATGTATTGACTAATTTCGGTGTAGCACCTGTAATAAACATTTTTTAGTGTTTGAATAAACAGCTTATACCGGTGCTAAACCGGTAATAAGAAGTTTTTGAAAAAGTTAAACCATTCTAACTTATAATAACTTAATAAGAACTTTTGTAGAAAAACATAAGTTGTTTCAAATAAATCATCATCCAACTCATCAATTTTACCATCTCATAAAAACAATCGACACATTAATATGAAATAATTATATAAATGACGATATTTTCTATTTATAAATTAAAAAACATAATTAATTTATTTCTATTTTTAGCTTCTATTTATTATCAACCATCAAGTGTTAGTAGTAAAATACAAAAGAGGCGGCTTTTCATATGTTTGAAAGTTCGTTGCATTTACTTCTCCCCCACTCCTCTCTTATATTTTCATGACGAAAAGCCGTGGTTAAAATAAATTATATTTCATACAGTTAAAAAGTTTTGATATTTTATTAAAGAGTCTTTGACCTAACGGTATGTGAGTTTTTAGCTTTCTAAGAGGTTAATGACTCAAACCTCACCAAAAGTGAGAAGAATGTGTAAGTTTATTTGTTATATTTGTCGTATATGAATATTATATATTTCAAAAAAAAAAGTTCTGATATGTTCTGAATTTGTAATTAAAAAATGGTATAAGACAATGTAAAGAGTTTCGTAATTGATTCAAATGTATTTACAAAGTAAAATTCAAAATAAGTTCAATGATGACACTGACAGAAGACAAAAATAATTCTAATAAGAAATTTGTAACATAAAACTTAAAAGAAAAATGGAAAAATTGATGGATAATCAATAATGTATTAGTTATTTTAGTTTAATTAATGATGCGGTATATAAAATATATGTTTTAAAAATAAATAAAAATGTGTTGTCGTGTGGTTTGAACCTCAGCTTGATTATTTAAAACCACAAACCACACTACAAATGCGGTTTGATAAAAATGTAAACTGCAATAAAGTTCTAAACCGTGTGTTGCGATGCAGTGTGGGAGGTTTATACGATTTAAATGAACACCCTTAGTTTTTATTCATAAAAACGATTTTTGCTAATTTTAAGTTATGTTTGTTTCATTAAGGGGTTGTTTGGCAGTTGTTGAATAGTTTAGTGCAAAATGATTAAGAGACTCTTATAATATGGTGTAAAATGAAA